GTGGCAGAGCTGAGAGCGGACTTCAAGACTCCACTGGTTCCCAGTACTGGCTGTGACTTCAGCAGCATAGTGTTCTGGGCTGAAGTCTTTGGTTCGTACCTAACAATTTGTGCTCCAGAAACACTAACATACAATGTAGAATACTATCTGCAGAACTTTCCTATGATTACTTTTTCTGAACTTGTACTTTCGAATGACTAAGCTATTGATTTTACCATACTGAGAGAAGAATCTTGCTGAAGCAGGACTCCACTGTCTGCCTTAGACCACAGTGCTCATTAAGAACTGTCTGGACATTTAATACACACACAAAAAAGATTAATAGATGGGACTTGTAAATGTTAATAAATATAACAAAATCTAGAATTACATTTTGGACTGAGTTCAGAAGTGAAAGAGTTTGTTAATCAGCAGGTGTTTTTTCACTTTTTCCCCCCAGTTTTATTGAGAAATAATTGACATACATCACTGTATAAGTTTAAGGTGTACAGCTTGGTGGTTTGATTTACATGTATTGTGAAATGATTATCACAGTAGGTTCAGCTAACATCCATTATCTCATATAGATACAATATAAAGAAAAAAGAAAATAAATTTTCTCATTATGATTAGAACTCTTAGGATTTACTCTCATAACAACTTTCCTGTGTATCATACAGCAGTGTTAACTATAGTCATCATGCTGCCCATTACATCCCTAGTACTTATTTATCCTATAACAGGAAATTTGTACCTGCTGACCACCTTCCTCCATTTCCCCCTCCCACCCCCACATACTCCCTTGCCTCTTGTAACTACGTTTGATCTCTTTTTCTATAAGTTTGTGTTATTTTTTAGATCCCACGTGTAATTGAGTTCATATGGTATTTGTCTTTGTCTTACTTAGCATAATGCCTTCGAGGTCCATCCATGTTGTCACAAGTGGTAGGATTTCCTCATTTTTTATGGCTGAATAATATTCCATTATATATATATTATATATATATATATATATATATATATATGTATTACAACTGCTTCATCCATTCATCCATTGATGGACACTTAGGTTATTTCCATGTCTTGGCTCACTTTTGAAAAAGTACCAAGTGTTGTGCCTCTCCTGCCAGCTTTTGTCTCTCTGTCCCTCTCCCTTACCCTCTGTCTTTCTAATAATGAAGAAAGATACCTAAATAGTGTGATCTAAGAAAAAAAGAGAGATTATTTTCAGAGAACATTAGAACTTCATAAGGTTACTAGCACTTTCCTTTTCACTCTAAATAATACATTGAGAACATACTGAAGTGATTGGAAATAATCCTGATTATTATTTATAAAATAATAATGTATTCCATGTGACAATACCAGAAGCATACTTTAAATTGCCCATTTTAACATGGGCCCAGCATTTTTAAATAAAATGATTAAATGTACAAACCAGTAACTTTGTTAAAAATGTAAATAAGAATTTACAAGTTTATGAGTTGGAGACTTCAGGTCATTGATTTCTGTGACACCTCAACCAACTTAAGGGGTTTCCTGAAGTAATTTATGAGATTAACAGCTCTAGAACCTTTGTTTGCATTTCTCGCCATGACAAGCACTGTGAAGTGGGATTAGCTGCTTTAATAAACTAAACCAAACTACTATTCAAATGATCAAAGAATATTAAAATACCTTCATTTTCATTTTAATTCTTTAATTCCTTTTTAGGGATTTTTAGGTATTATAGCATTTGGCATACATATGGCATAAATTAGCATACCCTAAGATTTTAGGGACTGAATCTTTTAATATAGTTACTGGAATAAATACTTGTCTTTTTCCCTCCTTCCCTCTGTCTTTTTCCTCCCCAAGACTGGCTCTTTTCTAGGTAAATTTAGAAGACAGCGAGATGAAAGGTACCTTTCCTACCCTCTAGGAGTTCACACAGTGTCTTTAATATAGTGGTTCTCAAAATGTGCGTCTCCGACCAGCAGCGTCAGCATCACCTGGGGCCTTGCAGAAAGGAAATTCTCAAGCTCCGCCCCAGACCTGCAGAATCAGAATCTTTGGGGCTGGGACACAGCAATCTGCCTTCTCACAAGTCTTCTAGGAGATTCTGATGCACACTCAAGTTTGAGAACCATTGGTCTAATGGCTGGAACTTTATAGCTTCCTTATTTTTTTGTTGAGATATGATCCACATACCATAAAATTCATCATTTTTTTTTTAATTTTATTTTTTTTTCCCCCAAAGCCCCAGTAGACAGTTGTATGTCATAGCTGCATATCCTTCTAGTTGCCGTATGTGGGACGTGGCCTCAGCATGGCTGGAGAAGCGGCGCGTGCGCACCCGGGATCCAAACCCAGGCCGCCAGCAGCAGAGCACACGCACTTAACCGCTAAGCCACGGGGCCGGCCCAAAATTCATCATTTTAAAGTGTACAATTCAGTGAGTCTTAGTGTATTCACAAGGTTATGCAAACATCACCATTGTCTAATTCCAGAACATTTTTATCACCCAAAAGGAACTCCATAACTGTTAGCAGTCACTCCCTTCCTCTGTCCCTACCCTCCAGCCCCTGGCAACCACTAATCTACTCTTCGTCTCTATGAATTTGACTATTCTGGATATTTCATATAAATGCAATCATACAATATGTGACTGTTGTGTCTGGCTTTCACTTAGCGTAATGTTTCCAAGGTTCATCCGTGTTGTAGCACATATCAGTGCTTCATTCCTTTTTATGAATGAATAATGTTCCACTGTATGTATATACCACATTTTGTTTATCCACACACCAGTTGATGGACATTTGAGTTGTTTCCGTGGCTGTTATGAATAATGCTGCTCTGAACATTCACATACAAATTTTTTAATGAACATAGATCTCTTGGGTATATGCACTGGATTCTCCTCATTTGTGGTAGTTACGTTCCAGAAAGTGGCTGCAAACACTGCGTTAATGAATACTGAGTCATTGCTCTGCAGGGAAATACAGGATCAGGTTCCTTCAAGCCTCTGGTCATATTTTTGACAGCTGATCAATACATGACCTTGTTTTGTGTGTGTTTCTATTTAGCCACTGTATCTAATAAATATTGTTGATTCACTAACATTGAATTCACATCCAATAGCACTATAACTCATGCCTAAATGAAGCTTGGCCAACACATGTATTTTCTCTGTAAGGCATGTCAGAGGCTTCTTGAGCTTAGGAACACTACACAGCACTGCACAGTATGCTTTGGGGCCATTTTAGACAGTGAAATTACCCACTAAAAGCACAAAAATGTGAAAAACGTGGCATTAAATAGACTGTGAAAAGAACAGTTGTTTACTGTATGAGAGCTGAAACAAGAAGGCAGGGGTTCACCTTGTTCGACCTCACCTGGGAATGTGTGTGTCGGAGGACTCAAATTTTTCACCACTCTGCATGTGCATGTCTGAATGACTACAAAAGCACCTGAGGATTATTTTGGGATTACAAATAAATTTTATCGAGTAGGCAAATTTGCAAGTATGGAATCTACAAATAATGAGGATCAACTGTACCTAGGAGTGAAATTGCTGTGTCATATGGTAACTCTGTGTTTAATTTTTTGAGGAACTGGTAGACTTTTCCATAGTGGCTACAACATTTTACGTTCCCACCAGTAGGGTATGAGGGTTCCAATTTCTCCATATCCTTGCCAACACTTGTTCTGTTCTTCCCTCCCTCCCTTCCTCCCTCCCTTCCTTCCTCCCTTCCTTCCTTCCTTCCTTCCTTCCTTCCTTCTTTCCCTCCTTCCTTGCTTCTTTCTTTTTCTGATTATAGCCATCCTGGTAGGTGTGAAGTGGTATCTTATAGTGGTTTTAATTTACATTTCCTTAATGATTAGTGATGTTCAGCATCTTTTCATGTGCACATTAGCCATTTGTATATTTTCTTTGGAAAAATGTCTCTTCCAAAACTTAGCCTATTTCAAATTGGATTATTTACTATTGGGTTGTAAGTGTTTTTTTATATGTTATGGATACTAACCTCTTAGATACATGATTTGCAGATACTTTCTCCTATGCTGTGGGTTGTCTTTTCACTTTCTTGATGATGTTCTTTGACGTACAAAAGTTTTTTATTTTGATGAAGTGCAATTTTATCTATTTTTTCTTTGATTGCTTGTGCTTTTGGTGTTACCTTTAATTTTGAAAGTGCTATCTTCATATAGTTAATGAGGACAGATTGTTAAAAGAGTTGTTTACACATTTTTATTAAAGAAGTCATGAAGAGTTAGATTTCATGGTTTCAATAAATTATCACTGATTTGCTAATAGATGTCATATGTAAATTTAAAGCGTTTGTTTGCCCTTATTTACAAGGTTTTATGTTGTGGTTGTGGAATTTTAAATACTAGCATCATCAGGGCCACAAATTTATAAAAAGCAGTGTCAAATTCATTTAACAAACTGCTGTTTTTGTTTAGGAAAATTGAAGAGAAACACTTATAACTGCTGTAAATAGTACTTTACTCTTTAATAAAGAAGACTCTGCCTCTTTTAAAAACTATGAACTTTTCTGCCCTAAAAGCAGAGTCTCAAGAGCCATTTGTGAAAGAACACAAGAATCCCCGGAACTTGGAAATAAACACGGTTTGGTGTTTATTTGTGTTAGTTTAAATGCAGTAGCCCTGTGTGTCAGAAAACTGAATCTGTAACACTTAAATTAGCCTAAGCAAGCAAATAATATCAGCTAACATGGCTTTAATCTACTAAGTAACTTTAAATCCAAAAGATCAAAGGAAGTTATAACCAAAAGCAGTCCTTCGTGCAATTTCCCCGAAGAAGCAGGAAAAGGCTAGAAATTACATGTCACCTTCATATCCTGGCTGGCTGACCTTGTGCTCAGATCAAGCCCCTCTGTATGCCAGCTGTTACCATTATTAAGACCTTGCCCCTGGGGGTTAAGTAGGAGAAAAACTCTCCTGTCCTATAGGAGAGCAAAGTTGGAAAGTTCCAGCCCCTAACATGCCTAATTCAAAGCAATCTGCATGTGCTTGTCATTCCGTCTGTCCTGCCGCTCTGTGGAGCTGCTCCTGCTCTCCGCTCGCTGCTCTCTGCTGTGCTGTGTTACTGCAGCCACTTATGGCTGTTGCTCCTGCAATCATTTGCAGACCAAACTGAGTCAGGGAAGTTTCCTCTTTTAACGTAAAGGTAATACATTTACTCATGCTTCTGTATGTGTGAACTTGTTATTTGGGGAGAATTTATTTAAAAACTGAACTTTGTGCTTCTAGGATTGAATTTAAAATTCCAGCTTGTAATTGTTTTCACAGTAAACTTTGAACGTCATCTTAACGCATTAAAATCTTACGAAGTTTATTTAAGTTATAGTCTATGCACAGTAAGGTAAGGTAGGCTGTTTCTTATCTTTATTAAAATGTACTTTCTTCATGAAGTTGGGAGGAAACCTCAGATTTCAAGTAGTTTATGTTGTTTCATGCTTTGAGATTCTTTTTTAACCACTATCTAAATCAGAGAATTTTGAAAATATGTGCTTTTCTCCTTACCAGTGGGTAGAAAAATAGATGTAGAATCGTAGGAATTATTTTAATCACTTTTGTGAATTAAATATCATAAGAAAATAGTAAAATATTAACATTTCCCAGCCTGTAAAATGGAAGTTTGATGAAGATACCTACTTGGGAACTAAGCTTCCACAGCAAGTTTAATTCTTACCAGTGTTCATTTCAAATACACAACTTAGTATACATCCTCAAGTTGTATTTGAGTTGATTAACCGTTTCATGCATTGTATGCATTTTAATTGTAGCAATGGTAACTATATTATGATTGGGTTTACTACTTAAACTAGAAGTCAGAATATATTTGCCATATTTACTGTTTTTCTTTTTAATTGAATATATTTGACATACAATATTGTGTAAACTTAAGGTGTACTTGTTAATTTGATACATTTGCATATTGTAATGGGATTGCCATTGTAGCGATATTTAGCACCTCTAGTGCACTGCATAATTATACTTTCTTTTTAGTGATTGGGATAGTTAAGTTTTAGTTTCTTAACAAGTTTGATGATTGTAGGACAATATTGCTGTCTGTGTTCATTATACTGTACTTTAGACCTCTATGGCTTATTTACTGCTCGTTGCAAGTTTGTACCCTTAAACAACATCAATCTTATCCCTGTCATGTTTACTTTTGCTTAAAATGAGATTGGATAATTTGTCTGCGACTGGCAGAAAAATTCAAACTAGTTTAACTTGTGAAATATTTGTATGTCTGGTAGTAAAATGTCAATTTTAAAGAAATTAAACAGATGTAAATTTCATGAAAACTGAGGTATTTCATACAAATCATTGACCATAAGTGACTTTCTTCAGTGATAATGCAAGAAATAGAGAGCACACTTTACAGTTTGCTAAAATTTTCTTTAACAGGTACTCCTTTTGAAAGAAAAAGAATGAAATATGTCTTTTTTACCCACAGGCAGGTTAGTTTAGATCATAGTATTTATAATTAAGAAAACTCTAGTTCCCTTTGATGGCTGGGAAGTCACTAAACTATGTAAATAAGCTCTAAACTAATGGGTATTTCACTTGTAGACAGTGGGTTTACTGCTTCTCATGGTTTTAATGTCTGCTGACACATTTCTACTTTTACAATGTTAAAATAAGTAGGTTTTTTTTGCATTATTTTATTTATTTTTAAACTTTGCGTCTCTAATAGACTAAGAATTCTGTCATGGCCAAAATCTTGAATATTGGAGTATTTTATTAGATTATACTTCATTTGTAACTTTTTGTTTTAGTGTACAAAAATAAGGCAGAGTATTTTTATGTATCTTCCCTGCTTCCTATAGCTTGGATCTTAGACCTGAATTGTAGAATTGTGAGTGTGAACCATTTGCATTGCTTATGAAAAAATGTGTAATGTTTAAGTGTCTGAAATGATTGACCTACAAAGCTGTTTAGAGAACACATGTTGACCTTCCCTCAGTCTGGGAAATGATATGTATTATAAAATTGATTCATCCAACATCTTAATCTAATCCCAGTTGTCTTTGTAGTTTATACTGAACCAATCAGCCCTTTTTGGCAACTGTTGGGAAATCTGCTTTTCAGTGTTGGCTGTGCATCAGGTCTTTACTTTCATTCTGACTGCTTAGATTTCTGGGATTGGATCAGAGCATTCTACTTCTAAGACTCTTATAACTCAGCGTGGGTGATGAACAGCCTTGACACACTGACTATAGGAACATTTCCTATTTTAAAAAAATTTCAATTCCTGATCACATCCTAACACAGGAAATAAAACTGGGTGTTTAGGATCAAGACAAATGAACTGCTTAGCCTATCAGCTTATTAGAAAAAATATCAAACAAAGCAACTACAGTAAATTTGAAAAGTGAGACTTGGGGAAGAGGATGGCTCTTTGTTCTCTCCATCTTAATTTCTATTCTTTTATCATTTTAGTCACTATTAAACCAGCTCACATATGACAGATGCACATATTCAGATTTCACAAAAAATATTCACAAGGAACACAGTAGGTGCTTATTATATGCTTGCTAAATAAGGACATTCACCTATTTAACTGAAAGATATGACTTAATTACCTTTGTGAGCAAACAAGAATCCCACAGTAAATGTAATTTCAGTTTGTCTAATATATAAAAGTTAGCAAATAGAATTTATGAGTATTTATAGTGATAATTTAAGAAATAGAAAAAGATGTATGAAAGTTGCACCCAGCCGCTTACTTCAGAGTTAACTTACTGATCCAATTCAAATATGAAAAAGTCTTTATGAATTGGATGTTTTCCTCAACTTAAAGTAAATCTCAGAGTCCTTTAAGTAAAAGGATGTCTTTAATTGCGTTTCATACAAATACCTTGGGAGATGTTTCCCAAGTTGCTCAGTAGGCTAAAGGATACTCTTGAGACATTATTTGCTGGACTCTGCAGGGAAGAACCCATTGGGGGAGCTGCCCTAGGAAATTTGATTTGCTACTTCTCAAACTTCACAAAACAGTAGGGAGTGGAGCCTGGTATCAGATACTTAGCATTTGTGGGAAAAGCTGAGATAATTCTAAGTGTAGCATTAAAAAACCACACGTTACCATCTAAATCAAACAACTTTCAAGTGTTTTATGGTGATTGATGTCAGTTTTTGGCTTTATGGAAGACATTTAGAAATTCTCTCACATTTTTTTGCCTCACAATATATGGGAGTAGAATTTTCTTACTTTGATTTATCTCAGTGATGGTTTTTTCCTTTGAGCTGCTAAGTTTTGGGGTTTTGAGATGTGTGGAGTATAAAACATTCCTGTTATCTTTAGACATGCTTGTAATCTGTTCAACAACATTAGTTAAGCTCAGTCATATGATCCTGTTTCTACTGGGGAAGAGCTATAGTGATACAGATAAATTGCTCATTTGTAAAGTTGCCTATTTTCTGATTTTAGTTGAGGCAAAATAGTTTCAGATGAAGTCTTATGGCCTAAAGATAGACCGATCACATCTTGAGGGTCCTGTTTATTACCAAAGCATCTTGTAATTCTTATTTGGTGGGAATGTGAGAAGAGAAAGCAGGCCTAGTAGGGTCTGAAGCCTTTCTGACCCTAGAATTGGAACATTTAAGATGCTTAAAATGCAGTCAGAAATATATATATATGTATATATATATATATTTTGGCGCAAAATGTTAGGGAACATGCCCTTTTAATAGAGGAGCTTGGAACTTCGTTTTGGAGATTGGCCAAGATTTGGGGATATATTTTTTCTTGAGGGTTAAATAAACTTATTAGTGAAATTGGCTATATCCTAAACTTTATTCAAACAATCCATAAGTAATTGAGGCTGTGTGACAACTTAGTTTACATTTCCACATTGTTCCACATGAATTCTGCACTGTTGTCTCTCAAACTAATGTCTTATTAAGGGTTTCTCTCCGCTGCACCCTTGTCTGCACGCTTATAACCTCAAAAGTACTGTAGATGAAATCTCTTTTCGCTGTAACCGGAAACAGAAGTGAAAATAATCCAAATAGTATAAAGCACATCTAACATGGAGTACCAGGTCGAAATGTTTTTTGATATACACAAACATTCTGCGTTTTAAGCAATATTTTCTGATCATTGAATGTTCTGAGTGGAGATTGCTTGCTCTTATAAACTGATCAGCATTAATTATATCAAATATAAATTAGTGGTTCTCAACCCTAGCTGCAAATTAGAATCGTCTGGGGAGCATTTTTTTTTAAATGCTAATGCCCACACCCCATTACAATATGAATTAAATCATAATCTCTGGGGCCAGGGCCCTGTGTCTGTAATTTTTTTGTTATATTACTGAAGTGATTCTAATGTGCAAAAAGGGTTGAGACCGCTGTAATAGACTTGTAACTTTGTGAATATTTGCTATATTTGTTACGTTCCCTTCAAGACTTGCAACAGACTCTAGATAACCAGCAGGCTGGTTCTTGGGTTAGATAACTACTTATTGGAGGGCTTTCTAGAATTTTTTTGCAAGACTATTGATTGACATTTCTGATTATAGAAAACTTCTCTAGTCTTATTTTGTATATTCTTAGTTATACAAATGAGCATAAGTCTCCAGGCTTAGGGTTCAAAAGAAATTAGTGCAGATTAATAGAATTTAAACTCATCTGAAATAGGAATTCAAAGATGTCAGAAGCCTTTCTCTCTCTTCTTAAGGGCATTGATGTTTATGGATATAACACAAAGCATGAGTGTGGGGAGAAGTGGTGAATATTTTGTGGAATGATAATTTTTTTGGATGAACTTGGAAAAGAGATCTCTGAAAACTGCTGTCATAGCTGCAATACAATGATAGTGTTCTTGAAATATGTATTTAGGAAGATAAGTGTTTATGCTAAAAAGAGGATGTTGCTGACTATCATTTGTCCCAGACTATAAAAGATAAACTTTATTTTACACCCACATAGACCTGTTATCAAAAGTACATTGGACACAAAACAAATAAGAAAAATGAGATTGATGTTTCCAGAGCCCTGAAATTTCTATCACTCATCCCTCAGGTGTGAATCTGTGCTTTGACAACCTAACCAGATCTAGTAACAAGACTGCTTTCCAGATTCAGGTTTTTCAGATTTGCTGTAGCACATATACTGTAATATCTTCCTAAGGTTATTTAACTTTTTGTTGTTGTT